TGACTGCATGATTGAGGAAGAAATAGGTGGGACTCTCTTGAATGGAAAAACATTTTCATCAAATATGACGTCTCTAGACATATAGACACGACCAGAATCTGTGTCAAGACACTTATACCCTTTATGTAAAGAACTGTAGCCTAGAAAGACACATTCCTTTGATCGAAAAGAGAGCTTTTGTTTGTTATAAGGACGAAGATGAGGCCAACAAGCACACCCAAAATTTTTTAATAAAGAGTAATTTGGTGGGATATGAAAAAGATGCTCTAAGGGGCATTTGTTATCGATGACACGAGTAGGAAGACGATTGATGAGATATGTGGCTGTAAGAAACGCGTCATCCCAAAATTTAATAGGTACATGAGCATGAGCTAGAAGGGCTAGGCCTGTTTCAACAATATGACGGTGCTTGCGTTCAGCAGACCCATTTTGTTGATGTGTGTGAGGGCACGAAACACGATGAGCAATTCCAAGGGAACGAAAAAATGTGTTATGAATTTTCTGATATTCCCCACCCCAATCAGTTTGGACCCACTTGATTTTAGTATCTAGAAGGCGCTCAACATGAGCTTGGAATTGCAAAAATATACGAGGAGCTTCTGTACGATCATGCATCAAATAGATCCACGAAAATTTACTGAAATCATCAATGAAGCTAATATAATATTTAAAACCCCCAACAGATGGAGGTGCAGGGCCCCAAACATCCGAAAAAATAAGTTCCAAAGGTGACGAAGACCTATGGAAAGAACTAGTATATGGTAACTGATGACTTTTTGCTGACTGACACGCATTACAAATTGACAAAGATGACTCACTAGCACACGAAATATTATTGAGACGCAAAATTGATTTTACTACTTGAGATGAAGGATGTCCAAGACGTGCATGCCATTGGTCGTGAGTAGTAGATCTGCTCACCAAGGCATGCTTGAGATCATTGACATCGGATGGCTTAATAGGATAAAGACCAGATTCACACCTCCCATCTAGGAGACTTTTCCTCGACCGTCGATCCTTTATAGAAAAATGCCAAGGATGGAATTCAAAAAATACGTCATTATCACGAGAAAATTTATGAACGGAAAGAAGATGTTTGGAAATTTCAGGCACATGCAAAATATTACGCAATTCAAGAGGACGAGTAGCAGTATTAATTAGAGAATGACCAGTATGCAAAACACGCAAACCTGCTCCATTGCCGACTTGAACTTGTTCACCTCCATGATAGCGTTCACGCACAGCGAGACGATCTAGGTCACTGGTGATATGATCCGTAGCACCTGTGTCAGTGTACCAATTTGGGTCAATCTTGTAAGAGGAAGTAGCCGCTAGTGCCGTGGGAGGAGCAGAAGAAGGTTCATCTTGATAGGACTCATCCATCCTATGCCAGCAGCGGATAGCAGTATGCCCCACTTTGCCACAGATCTGGCAGAAAGGACGAGTAGAAGGGCCACGACGATCACCAGCAGGACGAGAGGATGCATAACCTTGAGAACGACCACGACCACGATCCCTACGCCCACGATTCTTCTGCTGACCACCACGACCAGCATAATTGGCAGAAGATCCAAGATTTAACTGAAGTTCAGCCTGGTGTTGTAGTTGGCGAGCTTCATACGTCATTAAATGTGCAAACACATCATCAAGCGTGAGGGGTTCACTCTTGGTAGTCATTGAGGTGACGAAGGGATCATAGTCAGGGCCAAGACCAGCAAGAAGATACGCGATCACATCATCATCCTGCAAGGCAGAGCCGGCGGCGGCCAACTCGGTGGCTAGCCCTTTGATCTTGCGAAAATAATTTGCAGCAGATTGATCTCGTTTCTTGGACGTGGCGAGCTCAATACGAATTTGAGTAGTGCGAGCACGAGTTAACGATGAAAATATCCGTTGTAGGGTATCCCACGCCTCCTTGGACGTAGTAGCAGCAACCACATCGTGAAGAATCTCCTCTGACATGGAGGAGAGAAGAACGCTAAGAACCTGTTGATCCTGATCATACCACTGATTATAGGCCGGATTAGAGACCATCTCAGCACCAGCCGCAGTTGAGGAAGGTACCAACTTGGCAGGTGCGACATTGGTGCCATCGAGGTAGCCCATAAGCTTCGTACTCCGTAGATAGGGGAGGAGCTGGGCGCGCCATATGATGAAGTTGTTTTTGGTTAGACGAATTGTGACAGCATGGTGTAGAGTGCTTGGGCCAAAAGTCTCCATTGTAGTTGAGACGGTGTTGGAGATGGTGGATGGAGAGGAGGAGGAAGATATGGTAGACATTTAAAAATAAACCTTTGGCTCTGATACCATGTTAGGTTGAATGGCTCAATGACCTGACCTAGGGTCACGACCTCATGTATTTATAGATGTGTATAATGAAGATTACATTCTAAATCATAGATTTGTTAACAAACTATGAAATCATAGATTTGGTAACAAAACTATGAAATCATAGATTTGGTAACAAACCAAATAACTATGAAATCATATATTTGGAAACAAACCAGTAAATCATAGATTTGGTAACAAACTAGTAAATCATAGATTTGGTAACAATCTAGTAAATCACTAGATTATCTTACTATACATAAATATGATTTACTCTACGTTTAACAAAGGGAATCTTTTGTTACAATAGAAGCAGAAGTGATGTGGATTATTCAAGAATCGAAGTCGAGTTGCTTTATAAAAAGAAGATATCAATGAACTTCTATGAAATGGTTTCACGGGATTTAGCCAATTGTCTTGATCGTGGGATATCATTGAGAAATAGGAATCCGTGTTATCAAAGGATTTCCTGCGATTATTTCTCGTATGGAATGAGTCAATCATCCACTTTGGTATCTTATTGAACAAAAATGGTGATATTGTTCCTCCATTGATCAAGAATTTCGATTTTTGGGAAGTATCATGATCATCCATTAAGAAGGGTTTCAATTTTTTCAAATGAACGATTTGAAGACCTATTGATTCTAACAACTGATTGCAGAGTTGATCATTCGGACCTTTCAATTCATAGATGTGGATCTCGGATCTATGAATGGGGATATTCCCGAAACTCACAAAGAAAAAAGGAAGTGAGTTAGACNAAAAGAGAAGAAACTTGGACAAAAAGAAACGAAGTGACTTAGACAAATCTTTTTTATCGATAACCTTAGACCAATCAATCGAATATTGATTAATACGTAATCGAGCGAACACTACTTGAAAATGAAAATGGCTCTTCTGCTCAGAAATGAAATGTTCCTAGAAATTCTTGCAACCATTGGACCATTTGTATCTATATGCATTAGGATCCCGATTCATGGATCTCTCGGTTCGAGAAATCAAAATAAGAGGATCGAACCATTTCTTCTGACCCTTTTTCAAATTTGATAAATGTTGGTTGATCGTATATTTCATTATAGTTCTATGATTCAGAGTATCATTTCCTATTTGATCCCTTTGAATTCCATATTCGAAGTTGCGATCGGATCTATTCATAAAAAAGAATCGATTCAATACATTTCTTATGTACCCATAGGTGTTATATTGGATTTGAATCAGATCACCGATCAATCTATATTGATTGACTGCCTCCATTATGTTGTTGCTAGCAAATACCACTATTTTTTGTTTTGGATCTTCCAAATCATTCCCGGGGGAGGTCCGGACCAATTTTTTTCTGATCCTTCGATAAAAAGATTCATTCTCTTCATAAAAAATAGGAGGTAGAACCAATAAATATTTCTTTTTCGATTCATCCCTGGAGTTGAATACCTCATTCAAGAATTGTTTTTGATCCAATCCGTAGGAATCAATAGAAAAGGCAAATCCCTTATGATACACCACATCCGGCTCGGTTATTGATAGAGTGAATAGATTTGCCATTTCTTGAAATCTCTCTTCTGATTCAAAATCGTGGTGTAACGTGTATCCACTCCTGTTCCGGTCATGGAATAGATGAAATAAAGAAATAAATGGATTTTTGTTCAAGAATGAAATCTTATTGGAACTGTCCATATCCAGTTCATCCTTCGGAACCATATCACATCCCGGATCTGATGAAATAGGATGAATTGAGACGGTATTTTGTAAATACGTAATTATCTTGAATATAGTTGTTTTCTTTCCGTAATTTTAACGGAACTCGAAATTGGACAGCGGTGAACCTGTCATGCCGGTAGTTTGGGATCGAACTCCAACAACGGTAGTTTGAAAAGAAAGTCGGCTAAACAATTGTTTATGAAATCTTGTGTGTTAACATATAATATGTTTTCAGAGGTCGTTGTAGTGGTACAGTGGTGAGTATTTCCGCTTGTCACTCGAGTTATTATGTTCGAAAGGTCGTTGTAATACAAGGGCGAGCATTCCCGCTTGCACTCGAGTGACATGAGTTTGATCCCGAACAACAACAAGTTTAATTTTGTTTTGACAATTTTAGTCGCATTCAAAATTGGATTACTTTTTGTAACGGCGATTGATAAAATCTGATGTGTTAACGAATATTATATTGTTCAAAGTCGTCGTTGTAGAGTGGTGAGTATTCCTGCGAGTTTGATCCGCCGCAGCAGACTGTTTTTAATTTTCTTTTGAATTTGAAATTCGGGATTGGATTCCTTTTTCTCCCGTGTGTTTACAAATAATATATTTTTCAGAGGTCGATGTCATACAGTAGTGAGTATTCCCGCTTGTCACTCGATAGACATGAGTTTGAACCACGACAATAATAAGTTTAATTTTCTTTTGACAATTTTCACCGGATTTGAATTTGGATTACTTGTTCCGAATCTTCGATTGATAAAATCTAGAGCGTTGACAATGGATCGCTTTTTCTAAAGACGATTGGTAAAATCTAGAGAGTTAAGAAATAATTTATTTTTTATGAGTCCTTGTAGTATAGTGGTGAGTATTCCTGCCTGTCACGCAGGTGACCCGGGATCAATCCCCGGCAATGGCGATTTTAGTTGTTTTCTTTCCATAATTTTAACGGAACTCGAAATTGGACAGCGGTGAACCTGTCATGCCGGTAGTTTGGGATTGATTTTTGGAAGACACAATTTTTTCTGAAGAATTCGCCATGACAATTTTTTCTGAAGAATTCGCCATGATATAGCTGATCCTTGCATAATATCACGAAAAATGGATACAAATTTTTTGCTGCTACTTATACTTAGTATCGGCAATAGGTCTGAAAAAGTATCTAAAAAAGGAAAATTTAGATATTTGTACCCTGTCGAAGTAAAGAACCATGGCATATATGTTTGGAATAGATTCCATTTTGAGAGAGTTGAAAAAGCACTATCTCGTTGAAAGGTTCTATACATCTGCCCTTTCTCAAGGCATTTCTTTAGACAAAGACTCTGTTTTTTCCTCTTTTCGGATGGTAAATATTTTTCAGAACATGGAGTGTGAATCAAACCCATGTTTGAATTGAAATTGAGTTACTGATGCAAGTTCTTCCCCTCTGAATCAGATAGATTCATATCTGAAAGAGGTTGACAATAAGTTCTTTCAAAATTGACTATTTGTCCCTCTGTTAGAGGTGTTCCAGAAATGTCTGCGATCGAGTAAATAGCTCGACGAACGAATGGATCAGATCGAATTGGAAAATGGAAAGATTTGTACAAGTTATACCTTTCGTCACCACTTTGTGGAAAATCGTTAGGTATGAATATGTTAGATACCTATGACTCGATTGGTGAAATAGTATTTCTCTCCAAAAAAGCATGTTTTTTTTTACCGCCGCACAAAGAAAATATTTTGTCGCGGATGAACAAGATATTGAGGAATTGTCCATACGTAAAATCATAATTATTGATACGGGCCTTTTCCACATAATCCACATAAAAAGGGAATCTTTTGTTACAATAGAAGCAGAAGTGATGTGGATTATTCAAGAATCGAAGTTGCTTTATAAAATGAAGATATCAATGAACTTCTATGAAATGGTTTCACGGGATTTAGCCAATTGTCTTGATCGTGGGATATCATTGAGAAATAGGAATCCGTGTTATCAAAGGATTTCCTGCGATCATTTCTCGTATGGAATGAGTCAATCATCCACTTTGGTATCTTATTGAACAAAAATGGTGATATTGTTCCTCCATTGATCAAGAATTTCGATTTTTGGGAAGTATCATGATCATCCAATAAGAAGGGTTTCAATTTTTTCAAATGAACGATTTGAAGACCTATTGATTCTAACAATTGATTGCAGAGTTGATCATTCGGACCTTTCAATTCATAGATGTGGATCTCGGACCTATGAATGGGGATATTCCCGAAACTCACAAAGAAAAAAGGAAGTGAGTTAGACAAAAAGAGAAGAAACTTGGACAAAAAGAAACGAAGTGACTTAGACAAATCTTTTTTATCGATAACCTCAGACCAATCAATCGAATATTGATTAATACGTAATCGAGCGAACACTACTTGAAAATGAAAATGGCTCTTCTGCTCAGAAATGAAATGTTCCTGGAAATTCTTGCTCCCATTGGACCATTTGTATCTATATGCATTAGGATCCCGATTCATGGATCTCTCGGTTCGAGAAATCAAAATAAGAGGATCGAACCATTTCTTCTGACCCTTTTTCAAATTTGATAAATGTTGGTTGATCGTATATTTCATTATAGTTCTATGATTCAGAGTATCATTTCCTATTTGATCCCTTTGAATTCCATATTCGAAGTTGCGATCGGATCTATTCATTAAAAAGAATCGATTCAATACATTTCTTATGTACCCATAGGTGTTATATTGGATTTGAATCAGATTTCGGATCAATCTATATTGATTGACTGCCTCCATTATGTTGTTGCTAGCAAATACCACTATTTTTTGTTTTGGATCTTCCAAATCATTTCCGGGGGAGGTCCGTACCCATTTTTTTCTGATCCTTCGATAAAAAGATTCATTCTCTTCATAAAAAATAGGAGGTAGAACCAATAAATATTTCTTTTTCGATTCATCCCTGGAGTTGAATACCTCATTCAAGAATTGTTTTTTATCCAATCCATAGGAATCAATAGAAAAGGCAAATCCCTTATGATACACCAGATCCCGCTCGGTTATTGATAGAGTGAATAGATCTGCCATTTCTTGAAATCTCTCTTCTGATTCAAAATCATGGTGTAACGTGTATCCCCTCCTGTTCCGGTCATGGAATAGATGAAATAAACAAATAAATGGATTTTTGTTCAAGAATGAAATCTTATTGGAACTGTCCATATCCAGTTCATCCTTCGGAACCATATCACATCCCGGATCTGATGAAATAGGANAAGAATGAAATCTTATTGGAACTGTCCATATCCAGTTCATCCTTCGGAACCATATCACATCCCGGATTTGATGAAATAGGATGAATTGAGACGGTATTTTGTAAATACGTAATTATCTTGAATATAGTTGTTTTCTTTCCGTAATTTTAACGGAACTCGAAATTGGACAGCGGTGAACCTGTCATGCCGGTAGTTTGGGTTCGATCCCCAACAACGGTAGTTTGAAAAGAAAGTCGGCTAAACAATTGTTTATGAAATCTTGTGTGTTAACATATAATATGTTTTCAGAGGTCGTTGTAGTGGTACGATAGTGAGTATTTCCGCTTGTCACTCGATTTATTATGTTCCAAAGGTCGTTGTAATACAAGGGCGAGCATTCCTACTTGCACTCGAGTGACATGAGTTTGATCCCGAACAACAACAAGTTTAATCTTGTTTTGACAATTTTAGTCGCATTCAAAATTGGATTACTTTTTGTAACGGCTATTGATAAAATCCGATATTTTAACAAATATTATATTGTTCAAAGTCGTCGTTGTAGAGTGGTGAGTATTCCTGCGAGTTTGATCCGCCGCAACAGACTGTTTTTAGTTTTCTTTTGAACTTGAAATTCGGGATTGGATTCCTTTTTCTCCAGTGTGTTTACAAATAATATATTTTTCAGAGGTCGATGTAATACAGTAGTGAGTATTCCCGCTTGTCACTTGATAGACATGAGTTTGAACCCCGACAATAATAAGTTTAATTTTCTTTTGACAATTTTCACCGGATTTGAATTTGGATTACTTGTTCCGAATCTTCGATTGATAAAATCTAGAGCGTTGACAATGGATCGCTTTTTCTAAAGACGATTGGTAAAATCTGGAGCGTTAACAAATAATTTATTTTTTATGAGTCGTTTTAGTGGTATAATGGGGAGTATTTCCGCTTGTCATTCGAGTTGTTATGTTCCAGAGGTCGTTGTAATACAAGGGCGAGCATTCCAGCTTGTAACTCTGTGACCCAAGGATGATCCCGAACAAAAACAAGTTTAATCTTGTTTTTGGAATTTTAGTTGTAACTCTGTGACCCAAGGATGATCCCGAACAAAAACAAGTTTAATCTTGTTTTTGGAATTTTAGTTGGATTCAAAATTGAATTACTTTTTGTAACGACAATGGATAAAATCTGGTTTGTTAACAAATATTATATTTTTCGAAAGTCGTCGTTTTAGAGTCGTGAGTACTCCCACGAGTTTGATCCCCCGCAGCGACGATTTTTAATTTTCTTTTGAATTCAAATTCGGTAGTGGTGATCCAGACTATTTGGGTTTGTTTACCAACAACGAAATTCGGGATTGGATTCCTTTTTCTCTCATGTGTTAACAAATAATATATTTTTCAGAGGTCGATGTAATACAGTAGTGAGTATTCCCGCTTTTCACTCGAGAGACCTGAGTTTGAACCTCGACAATAATAAGCTTAATTTTCTTTTGAAAATTTGCACCGCATTTGAAATTGAATTACTTGTCCCGAATCTTCGATTGATAAAATCTAAAGCATTGACAATGGATCACCTTTTCTAAAGACGATTGGTAAAATCTGGAGCGTTAACAAATAATTTATTTTTTATGAGTCGTTTTAGTGGTATAATGGGGAGTATTTCCGCTTGTCATTCGGGTTATTATGTTCCAGAGGTCGTTGTAATACAAGGGCGAGCATTCGAGCTTGTAACTCAGTGACCCAAGTATGATCCCGAACAATAACACTTTTAATCCTTTTATTGGAATTTTAGTCGGATTCAAAATTGAATTACATTTTGTAACGGCGATGGATAAAATCTGGTTTGTTAACAAATATTATATTTTTCGAAAGTCGTCGTTGTAGAGTCGTGAGTACTCCCACGAGTTTGATCCCCCGCAGCGACGATTTTTAATTTTCTTTTGAATTCAAATTCGGTAGTGGTGATCCGGACTATTTGGGTTTGTTTCCCAACAACGAAATTCGGGATTGGATTCCTTTTTCTCTCGTGTGTTAACAAATAATATATTTTTCAGAGGTCGATGTAATACAGTATTGAGTATTCCCGCTTGTCACACAAGAGACCTGAGTTTGAACCCCGACAATAATAAGCTTAATTTTCTTTTTAAAATTTGCACCGCATTTGATATTGGATTACTTGTTCCAAATCTTCGATTGATAAAATCTAGATCGTTGACAATGGATCACTTTTTCTAAAACGATTGGTAAAATCTAGAGCGTTAACAAATAATTTATTTTTTATGAGTCATTTTAGTGATACAATGGAGAGTATTTCCGCTTGTCATTCGGGTTATTATGTTCCAGAGGTCGTTGTAATACAAGGGCGAGCATTCGAGCTTGTAACTCAGTGACCCAAGTATGATCCCGAACAATAACACTTTTAATCCTTTTATTGGAATTTTAGTCGGATTCAAAATTGAATTACTTTTTGTAACGGCGATGGATAAAATCTGGTTTGTTAACAAATATTATATTTTTCGAAAGTCGTCGTTGTAGAGTCGTGAGAAGTCCCACGAGTTTGATCCCCCGCAGCGACGATTTTTAATTTTCTTTTGAATTCAAATTCGGTAGTGGTGATCCGGACTATTTGGGTTTGTTTCCCAACAACGAAATTCGGGATTGGATTCCTTTTTCTCTCGTGTGTTAACAAATAATATATTTTTCAGAGGTCGATGTAATACAGTAGTGAGTATTCCCGCTTGTCACACAAGAGACCTGAGTTTGAACCCCGACAATAATAAGCTTAATTTTCTTTTTAAAATTTGCACCGCATTTGATATTGGATTACTTGTTCCAAATCTTCGATTGATAAAATCTAGATCGTTGACAATGGATCACTTTTTCTAAAACGATTGGTAAAATCTGGAGCGTTAACAAATAATTTATTTTTTATGAGTCGTTTTAGTGATACAATGGAGAGTATTTCCGCTTGTCATTCGGGTTATTATGTTCCAGAGGTCGTTGTAATACAAGGGCGAGCATTCGAGCTTGTAACTCAGTGACCCAAGTATGATCCCGAACAATAACACTTTTAGTCCTTTTATTGGAATTTTAGTCGGATTCAAAATTGAATTACTTTTTGTAACGACAATGGATAAAATCTGGTTTGTTAACAAATATTATATTTTTCGAAAGTCGTCGTTTTAGAGTCGTGAGTACTCCAACGAGTTTGATCCCCCGCAGCGACGATTTTTAATTTTCTTTTGAATTCAAATTCGGTAGTGGTGATCCAGACTATTTAGGTTTGTTTACCAACAACGAAATTCGGGATTGGATTCCTTTTTCTCTCGTGTGTTAACAAATAATATATTTTTCAGATGTCGATGTAATATAGTAGTGAGTATTTCTGCTTGTCACTCGAGAGACCTGAGTTTGAACCTCCACAATAATAAGCTTAATTTTCTTTTGAAAATTTGCACCGCATTTGAAATTGGATTACTTGTCCCGAATCTTCGATTGATAAAATATAGAGCGTTGACAATGGATCACTTTTTCTAAAGACGATTGGTAAAATCAAGAGCGTTAACAAATAATTTCTTTTTTATGAGTCGTTTTAGTGATACAATGGAAGGTATTTCCGCTTTTAAATTGAGTTATTATGTTCCAGAGGTCGTTGTAATACAAGGGCGAGCATTCCCGCTTGTCACTCATTGACCCAAGTTTGATCCCGAACAATAACAAGTTTAATCTTGTTTTTAGAATTTTAGTCGGATTCAAAATTGAATTACTTATTGTAACGGCGATGGATAAAATCTGGTTTGTTAACAAATATTATATTTTTCGAAAGTCGTCATTGTAAAGTGGTGAGTACTCCCACGAGTTTGATCCCCCGCAGCGACGATTTTTAATTTTCTTTTGAATTCGAAATTCGGTGGTGGTGAACCGGATGATTTGGGCTTGTTTCCCAACCACGAAATTTGGGATTGGATTCCTTTTTCTCTCGTGTGTTAACAAATAATATATTTTTCATTGGTCGATGTAATACATTAATGAGTATTCCCGCTTGTCACTGGAGAGACCTGAGTTTGAACCCCGACAATAATAAGCTTAATTATCTTTTGAAAATTGGCACCGCATTTGAAATTGGATTACTTGTTCCGAATCTTCGATTGATAAAATCTAGTGCATTGACAATGGATCACTTTTTCTAAAGACGATTGGTAAAATCTGGAGCGTTAACAAATAATTTATTTTTTATGAGTCGTTTTAGTGATACAATGGAGAGTATTTCAGCTTGTAAATCGAGTTATTATGTTCCAGAGGTCGTTGAAATACAAGGGCGAGCATTCCTGCTTGTCACTCACTGACCCAAGTTTGATCCCGAACAATAACAAGTTTAATCTTGTTTTTACAATATTAGTCGGATTCAAAATTGAATTACTTTTTGTAACGGCGATGGATAAAATTTGGTTTGTTAACAAATATTATATTTTTCGAAAGTTGTCGTTGTAGAGTGGTGAGTACTCCCACGAGTTTGATCCCCCGCAGCGACGATTTTTAATTTTCTTTTGAATTCGAAATTCGGTAGTGGTGAACGGGATGATTTGGGTTTGTTTCCCAACAACGAAATTTGGGATTGGATTCCTTTTTCTCTCGTTTGTTAACAAATAATATATTTTTCAGAGGTCGATGTAATATAGTAGTGAGTATTCCCGCTTGTCACTCGAGAGACCTCAGTTTGAACCCCGACAATAATAAACTTAATTTTCTTTTGAAACTTTGCACCGCATTTGAAATTGGATTACTTGTTTCGAATCTTCGATTGATAAAATCTAGATCGTTGACAATGGATCACTTTTTCTAAAACGATTTGTAAAATCTGGAGCGTTAACAAATAATTTATTTTTTATGAGTCGTTTTAGTGATACAATGGAGAGTATTCCAGAGGTCGTTGTAATACAAGGGCGAGCATTCCCGCTTGTCACTCATTGACCCAAGTTTGATCCTGAACAATAACAAGTTTAATCTTGTTTTTACAATTTTAGTCGGATTCAAAATTGAATAACTTTTTGTAACGGCGATGGATAAAATCTTGTTTGTTAACAAATATTATATTTTTTGAAAGTCGTCGTTGGAGAGTGGTGAGTACTCCCACGAGTTTGATCCCCCGCAGC